AAACTACAGTTTTTTTTTTGCATAACAAGAAACATTTTATCTGGCAGACGTTTTGGTCTGTTTATGGCTTAAAACATGTACCGCGGCTTAATTACCAGTAACTATATGGGATTTTCTGCGAAACAGCATGACAGACGAAGCGTTCCGTGCTTTATTTTTAGGTAGAGAGTAGAGATAGAGACTAGGTCTAGGTATAGATTAAGTCTCACATCATAAGTACTTCCTCTGTAAAGAAATATAAAAGCATTTAGATCATTAAATTAGTGATCTAAACCAGATTGATTGTGGCTTGTCCAGCGTGATCAGTGGTGACGTCTGCTACAACACCGTTTAAATTGCTCGGTTTTTCGGTAGACAATGCATAGCATACTGAGGCTTCTTTAGTTTGAAACCTTGCTTTGTTTGTCCATAGACCACGTAGCCATAGCCTTCCATTGTGAGTCGGTTGAGTTCCTCCTCCAAGCTTCTATGGTCATACATGCCATGCAAGTGCTCTACAACAAGCTCTGAACTCCTACCATGCATGTCCGACAGAGAGGAATGCATGCTAGATTATGTGAACGGCATCCGTAGGTGCTCCTCATGATCTGGATATATTTGCAGACACTAGACCGACCACAGTGGAACCGCGAAACTGGATCCACGCATCCAATTCAAGAATACCGATCCCAGGAGCTTGAACACTTGCCTCCATTCAATAAACCTTGGTCTGCGGCAGTCAGGAACACCGTAGCCAGAGATGTAGTCTGCATTGTAACGGAAATTGACGAGCACAAGAGCCTAGATTGGGAACAACTGATTCTTGGAAGGCGCTGATTGCATGGCCCCAGGAGGAGGTACAAGATAATGGAGCCGGTGGCCGCGTCGAAGACGTACGCTAAAGACGGCTCTCATCAAGGAGTTGTGGATGATGCATGCGTAGCTATTACTTCCTAAATATAACAAGTTCAGTCACTTCAGTTTAAGCTTCTAAAGCGTCTTATATCTAGAAACAGAGGTAGTAGTAGGCTAAGCATGGAGGGGACGACTAACGAAAGCCTTGGGCAACTACAAAGGACAAAAAAAAATGTGTGTCATGTTCACGTTGTCGGTGTTTTTGTTACCGGCTAAGTGAATTTGTATGTAGGTAGAGCTTATGGCCACGATCGGATGGGTTAACAGCCTCAATCACACAAGGATGTATCACTGGGATCGTGATAGTAAAAACCCTACTCCTGTTTGGGCGTCGATTGTATTCTGGCGTGTGAGGTGCTCAAGGTGCTAGATGAAGCCTGGCGGCTTAGCCCGGCTGGGTGTATGGTGGTCACTCTGGAGGAGAGTATGCGTGGATGTGTTTGTTGGTGTGTGAATGAATCGATCTCCCCTCTCCGAAGAGAGAAGGTACCTTTATATTTATACAGGGGCGTGGCGCAACATTATAATTATGACAGTGCCACCTTACCTTTTTTTTAAAAAGGTGCCGCATTACATTCCCCGAGGTACAAGCTATCGAGGGGCCCACTTGAGGCTAGGCTACTGTGGTAGCTATCATCGGATATACTATGAGGATTCTTGGCGCCTAAGAGCATCTCCACCTCCCCCCTCAAGGCGCCTTTTTTCCATCCGCGTAAAAAAAATTCATCCAGTCGCGCCCCCAGAAGCCCAAATTTCGCAGGTTTGAGCCGAAATTGGCGCCGGCGGACCCAGGCCGAACCCAACATGCTGGGGGCGACGGGGGAACGAAAAATGGCGCGAAAACAAACCACACCAGGTTCCCCCCTATGGGCCCGCCGAGTCAGCGACTGTGCTTCATCGTCGGTGCCCCCGCCCCCCACGGTTGGTAATCGGTACCCGCCCTCCCCCCACGCCAAAAATTCCGCCGACGACGCCCCAAGAGGCTTTTCCCCCTTGAAAAATGCCGAACTGCTGGAGATGCTCTAAGCCGAGGCCTGCTCCTACCGTCTCCGATGAGACGCGTCTGAGGCCCTTCGTACCGGCATGCTTCTTTCTGCTGGACCTTGTTCGTATCAGTTTCTTATACCTTAATAATTCAGGAATATTAGCTTGTAATTATCTGACAGTTGCAAGGATATATATCTGTAATTCTGACCTTAGAAATTTTTTTGAGGTGATTTTTCCTTAGATGGGGGAGGAAACTAGGTGTGGAAAAAATTACCCGGGGCGGCCGCCCCTACACGACCCCACGCTGGCACGGCCTCTGCCGCGAAGCAGCGCCGGCGTCGGCGTGCCCAGCCGTCCCTGCCAGCACAAGGAGACCGCGCTTGGCCTGGCCAAGTTCGTGGACAAGGGCGTCCACGTGAAGCTCACCGGCGGCCGGCAAGGTTGATTCGTACAGCCGAAATCTCTTTTATTTCGTGCTAAGCTCTACACCATCAGATCCCCCGTATTTGTTTGTGTTAGCCACTTAGCCTGCTAACTTCCTGTCATTGTCGCCAGTGCGCTATTTGGTGTAGACTAATCCTTACAGACTTGCTACAAATGTATGTTACTGACGCGAGTATACGCGACTTGTTAGTTAGTTTGGTCTTTGTCTGATTTATTAGTTGGTGTGTCTTGTTGTGTTTTTCAAAGTTTGAAAATTGCAGTGGCATTTTTATGAATCGTCATAATTGGGGTGGCATTTGTCTAAGGGCTTTGCTAGACACGCGGACGGATTTTTACAGGTTTCACGGACTGTTACATGTGGCATCGTTTGATTGGGATTAAGAAGAGGAAGGACCCCACCCTCCCTGAAAATCAGGGGGCGGAGAGGTTAATTAGCACTAAGACCTCCGTAAAAGTCCGTTGTATGCCCGTGAGTGTAGGATTATTGTTTATCTAATTAACCCTTTTCTTTTTTAATGCAAGACTGAGACTTAATTAAGAATTTTAGTATGTTTGTAAGACCATATTGATCTATTTATATGTGGTATTGGTAATTGCTTAGTATGTTTGCATGTCATGTTTGTCGTAATTTTTTAATTTTTGAGAAGGACCATCTTGTTTTCAAATCCTAGCTCCACCTCTGCTTTTGAGGCTTGATCTATACTTGCCATGCTCCCGTTCCTAAGGCTTCTAGAGAAGCGGCTGGAGGTGAATCTCCTGCTCTCCTTGCCCGGATAGGCAGGAGATGCCAGCCGGTCCGATTGCTCCTTTCGCCGGCGAAGAGACCCCTTATTTCTCAAGCCCGTCACTTATTAACTAGGAAGAGACAAGTTAACAGTATTCAAAGAAAATTGCAGCAATTAGTGGATGATGTCGTCACGTAGGACCGATAGATTTCAAATACCAACCTGTTTTAGTAAGTCAGTAGCAGGTCAGTTTAGAACAAACCCGGGAGATATATGGTTAAAAAGGACAGAATGACCCTAGAGCTGAAAGCATAACAAACAAACAAAATAGGTGTCATTGTTGCCTCGAGGAGACTCGCGAATCATTGGGGCATGCCGATGAGGACACGAACAAGATTCCATAATCAACTTACTCCCACGCGCTATACACTCACCCACCCACCCAGACAAAGCAGACTCATGCTGCTTCAATTGCAACTACATCTTGGATACTAAGACTCTTATCTTGGAGCTTACTTCAACAGTGAGCCGAGGCTGATGTGCTGCCTGAATCAGGCTTGCCCACATGCATAAAAAATATTGTAAGTGATCTATCGAGCTTTATTATCTAAACGCGGCCTTCTAAGCTTTCTTTACTTTGCACGCTATGTTGTTGTTGCAAAATAAGCAATAAGCAAGTCTAACCACCAAATTTCTATTTGTTTTTCGTGTTCCAGTTATCACCGCAGTATAGTGTGTTCAGGGCCGGAGGCAGGATTGGAGTTTAAATGGGGCCGAATATGATGATTCTCACTTAGAGGGGGCCAAGAAAGCTAATTTTGTCTAAACATCATGTCTAAACTAGCCTTAAGTATAAAATCATTTGTATTGTACAATGCCATAGGGGGGGCCAGGGACCTGCTGGTCCCCCTAGCTCCGCCACTGAGTGTGTTCACCTCCATTTCACTCGTAGAGAGCTTTGTTCTAATTATTCGGAAAACAAAAGTAGGTCCATGATCATTCCACATGCAACATAAATATAAAAAAACACCGGCATACTCATCTTAAAACAGATTGGTTACTCTTGCTCGTCTGGTTTGGGGGGGAGGTAGGCAGCAAGGTTAGTAGCCATCGGTGGACATTTCGGCTATAAAGGCTGGGGCTGGACAAGGTTGGTCACTCCGACAAGTTTTGGTCGGCGGACCCATTCGGCTCCAAGAATTGAAGGGGAGAAGGAGGGCCGATGTGCATGCAGAGGCATGGAGGAGGGTCTAAGGAGGCAGAGAGGAGGGTCTAAGGAGCAAGATGGGGTCTAAAAAAAGAACTTCCTGAATTTTGATATTTCATTTATATTGTGGTTTAGGAGTGAAAAATTACGAACTTTAGCATGAAGAATAATCATTTCTGTTTCACATCTAGAGGCCACATTCTTTTTCCATTTCTGCCTGAAAATAGATGTTGGATGGAAAATATTTGGTTTAGGGATGAGTATTGCTGTATGTCTTGCATATTTGTGCGTGCCCATTAATTTTCCAACACATTTCCAACAAACAAAAGATAGGAAAACTCAAAAACAAGATCAGACATATCTGCTTTCCAATTAGATTTTGTCTAGTTCTCCATATTTGTGAATAACTTTCTGGAATTTCGCACTAGGATGTTGATATGGATAAAAGATGTATAATACATAGGTTATACCGTTAGTAGCACCCATAATATCGGCTTACGAAACCAGTCCAACATTATAATACGTAAGTTATACAATTATAGTAATACCCACAAAATCGGCTTTACAAAACAAGTCCAATATATGCACAGCATAACGACACAATTTAACCACATAACATTACATTACAACAAAGTTACACTTACAAACTAGTATCACTTGTATAATCGAAAAGGTAGTACAGTGTTGTCGACAAAACAACAAAGGCAGTAGGTAAAGTGTTGTACGCTTGACACGTCGGCAGCTCAAGGAATTGATGCAGCAGGGATGTCTGGACGGTGAACAATGCCCGCGTGCGTGAGCAGCGCCCAAAGGTGGGTCATGAACTCGCCGCCGGAGGCTAGGTGGTCGGCATGGACGTCGGCCTTGTCGGACGGCGCCAGGAAGAGCACCAGGTCGGCCCAGAAGCCCGCGAGCAGCTTCCACGGCGGCCGCTTGTTCTCCGACAAGAGCTTGTCTGCCAGGCTGGCTCCAAGGATCAAGATGGACATGTCTTGCTGCACTGGTATGTTGCTGCTGCTGCCCGGCTTTCCCAATTGTAACATCTTTTCACATCTGCCCGACAATGTTTTGATTGTACCGAGATGCTCTCGGGCATCTAGAATGACGGCGTCCAGGATCTGCGTGGCCGTGTAGCTGTGGTCGGGCAACATGTCCGGGACGAAAGCAAGCAGGTAGGCACAGTAGCTGGACAGTGTGGTTGCAACACGGCGGCTACTGGGGAGCTGGTCGGTGCCCTGGTCCTGTTGTTCCTGGTTGGCGCATATGGTGGTGGCAATGTGCCACACGAGGACCATGTGTGTGCTGCTCGAGAGGTCGAACAGCACCCAGTCCAGCTGCAACACCTTGTTCCTCAGATCGCCTAAACGGTCGACCGACAGCCGGCCACCACTTTTCCTGAGGGAGCTGAGAACCTCCTCCTTGATTTCGTCTGACAGGGTGATATCCTTGCCGCGCTTCCGGCCTTCTCCTGTCTTCTCCAGCAGGCGTAGGGTCAACAGGGAGAAGGCATTCGTCTTGTGCGCGGTGTAGCCGCAGGAGTTGAGAAGCGAGTACTGGCCGAGCTTGTTATCCCACCACTGCGACGGGTTCTTTGCCCGGCGTGCCGCCACCCATTTAATGAGCACTCGACGAATGCCGAAGCCCCGGTTCCACCACCGCTTCACCATCATCCACCAACCCTTGCTGCCGTCGCCGTCTGTCCTCCTTCTCATGTAGACGTAGTCGCACACGTAGTGTACAATGGCCCAGTTTGAGTAACCCGTGGCAACGTCTTGCAGGATGTCGATGCTAAGGATCATGAAGACGACGAGAACGTTGTTGAAGAGGGTGAAGAAAACCGCATGACTGGAGGAGTACCCCGTGTTATTCTCAAGCAAGTCCGCGGGGACATTGGAGTAATATGTGATGCCGTCGTAAATAAAATCCACGAGGAGCACCTTGAACAAGCCAAGAAGGACGACGAAACGGAGAACGCGGAGCGCAGCTGGGGCGGCGGGGAAGAGCGCCGGGTACTTGGTGTAGAAGAAGTCGTACAGGAACGACAACTCGACCTCCACGAGATGGAAGGCATGCTTGTCCTTGGCGAGGACGAATTTCAGCGCCTCCAGGTTACCCTCCTCGGCGATGGGGAGCCCCGGGCAGAAGCGCCGGCTGAGCAACTTGAACAAGGCGAAGGAAAGACACGTATCTTTGAGAGGCACAGGCTTCTGGTCGTCGTCAGGAGTAGGACTCAGCAGCAGCTTGTCCTTGCTGTTCCAAATCATGTCGAACGTGATGAGCTTGCCCTTGCCGCCCACCTCTGAGAGGTAGCAGGGCCCCTTGGACGGTGGGCTGGAGTCTTTTTCCTCGCCGAGGACAAGATACTTGCACTTAGCCATGTCGTCCATGGGGATATGATTCCTTTCACCAGAGCCAGAGGCATACACATCCTGCATGTAGTCAGCCACCACCTTGGCGCTGCGCACAAGGCCGTGCATCGAGCTGGCCTTGCGCAGCGCCTTCATCTTCTGGGTGACCCTCAAGATGCTATACACCCAGCAGAGGAGGAAGTAGAGCAGCAAGACCACCCCGCCCTTGGAGACGTTGCTCCGGCTGACGAGGAGCCAGAGCACGAGAACCGTCTGGATGATGTGCTGCGCCTGAACTCCTTTGCTATCCTCGACCTCCTGCCGGCTGAAGGCCGACATGCCGTCCACGCTACCGATGAGGAGCAATAGCCCGACGGCCCACAACAGCTGGCTTTCAAGCTGTTTGGGCTCCTCCACGGACTGGATGAGGCCGATGGTGTAGCCGAACACCGGGAAGGAGACGGTGTAAGCGACCCGCACCAGGTTCACAATGATTTTGTTGCGGGAGCGCCGACGCCGAGATCCCAGCACCACCTGGATGCTGATCAACACAGCACTAAGCATGGCGAGGATGTTGATCTGCAACCCTTTGTCCGTGCGGATCAGCATCAACATGTCGCTAGGGCTCTTTTCTGGCGCCGGGGTATCGCCGTGCCGCAGACCTAGCGACAGATCTCCCTCTAATTCGGGAAACATGCTGATGTGCAGACTAGAGTATAAGATCCATAGCAGCACCCATACCGAGTACATTTTCTCAATCTAGCTAGCCAGCTGCTCTTAGCTCTAGGTGTGTTTGACTCTTGGGTCTGCCTCAGCTCTGAACAAGTGTGCCAACTATATAGCTAGACAGAGTTTGACGAGGAGGATGCTTAGTCTTATGAAAGGTGGTCAATCTTATTATTTTCTACTAATCGCACAAGAGATGGGGTGTGTGAGAACCAAGGTAATCAAAAACGCTAGTTCCCACACGATTTGCAGAGGTAAGCTTTCTTCCTCTCCTCTTATTTTTAAATCCGGATATTGATGTAGACTTACAAACCTATCATTGCGTGTGCTGATATAGACATGCATGACATGGTGGTACGCGTATAAGGAGCCATGTGAACCATTTTGTACACGCTCACGGTAAACTGTTTGGGCCATCAGGAAAAAAAAATTGGGCTGGAAAAAGCATGTTCCAATTTTGTTGGTAAACTTACGATTTAGAATTGTACTATAATGTAAAGTATGTAAAACAATTGGTTATGCACATTATGTCCGCATTCATTATCCCCTCTATCATTTTCATTTGCTCGTAGCACATACCAACAAGGAGAAAAAAAATGTTTTTTTAACAAAACTTGGGAACCATGTATCCAACATCCGGTTATAGATCTCTTTAAATGACAATATTTCCGGACCAATTATATTGCAACAACATGTCTTGAGAAGATGAAAATAGAACAAAGAACATCCTCTTATTTATTATAAATGTAAAACATATTTCAGAAAATAGAGATCATTGAAGGAGAAGTAGAACTCACCTCTATGATGCTGGTGCTCACAAAGTTGACAAGCTCAGGACGTTAAAGCAACCAATATCGGGCCAGATATTTGTCTCTTGTAGGCATAGTACTGATTTGTCTCTTCAACTTGTACTCCCCCCGTTCCTAAATATAAGTCTGTATGTAGTTCATATTGAAATCTGTAGAAAGACTTATATTTAGGAACATAGGGAGTATTATTTAAGGTTAACTATGTAGTGTGTTGTAACTGTGCGGTCCTTACAGAGTTATCCATATCCCATGCAAAAATAAAAAATAAAAAAAATCTTAAGTGTGTGTCTAGGATAACAACTCACAGTAGTATTTACTTTGCCACTTCACCACAAGCGGGGTTGGCAGAAGAGTGACCACAAAACTTCATCGCAAATGGACATCGTATAACAACCTCATATGTGTTCCCCTCAAAAAAGAAAAAGACCTCATATGTCATGCTTTCGACTGCTGTACGATCAAGGTGCCTAATTGCAGTATATATATGATGACCAATTCCTAAAGACCCGGCCCGTCAATTCCGCAAGACCGTCAAATGCTAGTTTCACACATACTAATACGTACTGATAAGCAATCTTTTGGTTGTTTATTTCTTGTGTGTTGTTAAACAAGGACAAGCGCAGAGTGGAGACAACCGGCCTACCACTAATCAAGCTGCAAATACAGCGACCACCCGCCTAACAGCGGCTACAAACTCCATATCTATTCAGATTTCAGATAGTATATACGAGCGACGGGCTGTCATGTTAGGTCAAGCATGGATCTGAATTTGTGTGAACATGACCGTAGTAGGCCATATTTCAATCAAAATAGACAAAGTCTTGACGTCGATGACGGGCCATGGCAGGTTAATCATCAACGTATTGTTGCATCATAGTCTACTACATGCATGGAGCGCGCACCTCTGATGTCTACACCAGGTCTACACGTATTTCCTTTTTGTTAACCCCTCCAGAGTATTGAAACCCGTTTAACTAACACCTAGACCACACCTTGGACCCTCGAGGGCAACAACTTGGCTAGTCCACACCTTGGACAGTCAACAGTCAACACCTAATCGTTTAGAAGATGCCAAATCTCCAAGATTAATAAGGAAGGATGATTTTGATTTTGCTAGGTGCACGATGGTACTCACTAATTCTCTCAAAGGATAGGCATAAAATCACGAAAGAGCTAGGGAAGCTGGAGCAAGTGAATTTGAAATTCTATATATGTCCTCCAAGTTGCCAACCCTACCCATTGGGGCTCGGGTGCTATTTATAGGCGCTTCAGAGATCTAGCCATTAGGTAAATGTGGTTGTGTACGGACATGCGTAACGGCTAGTCTTCGACTATGGATGACCTCGAACAACCATATCCTCTGTTGAGTCAAGAGCTTCGTGGCCATTACTGAAGACTCTTTGGTACTCCCCCATACATAAAGCCTCTACTGAGGACATCCTTGTTCGAGGTCATCCATAGTCGAAGACTAGCCGTTACGCATGTCCGTACACAACCACATTTACCTAATGGCTAGATCTCCGAAGCGCCTAGTATAAATAGCACCCGAGCCCCAATGGGTAGGGTTGGCAACTTGGAGGACATATATAGAATTCCAAATTCACTTGCTCCAACTTCCCTAGGTCTTTCGTGCTTTTATGCTTATCCTTTTAGAGAATTAGTGAGTATGATCCTGCATCTACCAAAAGCACAATTATCCTTCCTTGTTAACCTTGGAGATTTGGTATCTTCTAAATGATTAGGTGTTGACTGTCGAGTGTCCAAGGTGTGGACTGGCCGATGCAAAGTTTGGATATAACATATTGAAGATTTGCCACTAGTGGTCGGACAAGCGGGTGAAGCTTGCTCAATCGAGAATAAGGTTCAATTCGCAAGCGGGTTATGGAGCGTGCGCATATGGTGCTCGCTAAGGCACTGCTGGACCGGTTTGTGCTCCTGGCTCGCCGTTGGACAGCTTGATGAGGACAGCGGATTTTTGCTGATGTGAGTAGGTATGAGATTAGGGCACACGGTCCCGATCATGGACACCCCTTCATTAAGCTTTGTAGCTGTAGCGACAGTTGTCCCTAGGAAGGTGGGTCCGGTTCAGTCAGTGTATTACTTTGTAAGGATTTGTTCGATAATATAATAAAAATGTATGTATGAATCATTTTGACGGGCGTTTCAATTTCCTTTTCGAAACAAACTATTAGCGAAATTCAGCAAGTCTACATGGGAAAAACCTTGGGTTTCAATACTTTGGAGGGGTTAACAAGAAAGAAGTACTTGTAGACCTGGTGTAGACATCAGAGGTGCTCCATGTGGTAGAGTATGACGCGACAATACATTGATGATTAACCTGCTATCGCCCGTCCACATCAAGACTTAGTATGTTTTGATTTGAAATATGTCATACTGGATATGTCTTGCTCAATACTATATCACATGGTTTTAGAAAGACAGGTTAACCATGATATATGGTCATGCATGTTCACACAATTTTGGATCCATGCTTGACCTAACCTGCCAGTCTATACCTTAAACAATACGGGCGGTTGGGTAAAATGACACCAAATTGACCCTTGCAGCTTGATTAGTGGTAGGCCGGCCGGTTGTCTCAGTGCACACGCCTCTGGAATATAATTGACGTGCGAACGCCTAGCCACTGCGCTTGTCCTTGTTTAAGAACACACAAGAAATAAACAACCAAAACAATGCTTATCAGTACATATTAGTATATGTGAAAATCACATTTGAAGGTCTGGCGGAATTGACGGGTCTGGTCTTTAGGAATTGGCCATCATGTGAAAAGGAGGGAGGGGACGACCGGGTTTGTGAACCATGTGAACCGGTGTGAAACGTGCGGAAAAATGATGGAACTAGAGCGTATAGTCCGAAAATCCGGACAAGTGAGGCTGCTGGTTTGGATTTTCAGTTCGTGATCGCAGTCTTCTTTTTTTTGGTCAATCTCTTCTCAAGAACATACAACTAGTTTGTAAGTTTTGTGGAATCAACCAAGGGAGCTAGCCCAGCTGGTTGTTGTCGTTACATTTGTTATGGGAGGGTGTGGGTTTGATCCCCTTCTCGCTTTTGCCTATATTAAAACTACTGCCAGTGCATGTGCAGCAGCCCAGAAGATCGAAGGGGTCGTGTGGTACTTTTTGCAATCTGCCACATGGTTGACAGTTATCACAGTCTAAATATGTTTTACGTTTATAATAAATGTTCTTTGTTCTTTTTTCATCTTTGAAGACGTGTTGTTGCAATATAATTGGTCCAGAAATATTGTCATTGGAAAAGATCTATAACCGGATGTTGGGTACACGGTTCCCAAGTTCTCCTTGGTGGCATATGCTACGAGCAAATGAAAATGATAGAGGTGATCATGAATGTGGACATAATGTGCATAACCAATTGTTTTACATACTTTACATTATACAATTCTAAATCGAAAGTTTACCAACAAAAGTGGAACATGCTTTTTCTAGCCCAAATTTTGTTCTGATGGCCCAAACATTTTAGCATGAGCGTGTACAAAATATGGTTCACATGGCTCCTTGTATGTACCATGTCATGCATGTCTATATCAGCAGTTCAGCACACGCAATGATAGGTTTGTAAGTCATGTATGTCTACATCAATATCCCAATTTAAAAATAAGAAGAGAGGAAGAAAGCTTACCTGCTAATCGTGTGAAAACTAGCTACTGTTAGTTTTTCATTACCTTGGTTCTCTTCTCACACACACCATCTCTTGCGCGAGCTCTCAGAAAATAATAAGATTTTTTTTTGCGGGGACAGAAAATAATAAGATTGACCACCTTTCATAAGACTAAGCATCCTCGTCAAGCTCTGTCTAGCTATATAGATGGCACGCTTCTTCAGAGCTCAGGCAGACCCAAGAGTCCAAGACACCTAGAGCTAAGAGCAGCCAGCTAGCTAGATTGAGAAAATGTACTCGGTCGAGGAGGTGCTATGGTACTTATACTTCCATCATCCCATTCTGTCCATCAACATGTTTCCCGTAGGAGATGTAGAAGACCTGTCGGTAGGTCCATGGGAGGGCGCGCCGGTGGCCGCCGATACCTCGGCGCCAGAAATGAGCCCTAGCAACATGCTGATGCTGATCCACGCAGACAAAGGGTTGCAGATCAACCTCCTAGCCATGCTTAGTGCTGTGTTGATCGGCTTCCAGGTGCTGTTGGGATCTCGGCGCCGGCGCTCCCGCAACAAAATCATTGTGAACCTGCTGCGGGGTGCTTATATTGTCTCCTTCCCGGTGTTCGTCTACACCATCGGCCTCGTCCAGTCCGTGGAGGCGCCCAAACAGCTTGACAGCCAACTGTTGTGGGCCGTTGGGCTTCTGCTCCTCCTCGGTAGCGTGGACGGCATGTCGGCCTTCACCCGACAGGAGGTCGAGAATAGCAAAGGTGTTCAGGCGGAGCACATGATCAAGACGGTTCTTGTGCTCTGGCTCCTCGTCAGCCGGAGCGACGTCTCCGAGGGCGGGTGGATCTTGCTTCTCTACTTCCTCCTCTGCTGGGTGTATAGCATCTTGAGGGTCGCCCAGAGGATGAAGGCGTTGCGCAAGGCCAGCTCGGCACAAGGTCTTGTGCGCAGCGCCAAGGTGGTGGCTGACTACATGCAAGATGTCTATGCCTCTGATGATAGGATTCATAGCCCCATGGACATGGCTAAGTGCAAGTATCTGGTCCTCGGCGAGGAAAAGGACTCCAGCCCACCGTCCAAGGCGCCCTCCTACCTCTCAGAGGTGGGCAGCAAGGGCAAGCTCGTCACGTTCGACATGATCTGGAACAGCAAGGGCAAGCTGCTGCCGAGTCCCACTCCTGACGACGACCAGAAGCCTGTGCCTCTGAAAGATACTTGTCTTTCCTTCGCCTTGTTCAAGTTGCTCAAGCGGCGCTTCTGCCCGGGGCTCCCCATCGCCGAGGAGGGTGACCTGGAGGCGCTGAAATTCGTCCTCGCCAAGGGCAAGCATGCCTTCCATCTCGTGGAGGTCGAGTTGTCGTTCCTGTACGACTTCTTCTACACCAAGTACCCGGCGCTCTTCCCCGCGGCCCCAGCTGCGCTACGCGTCCTTCGTTTCATCGTCCTTATTGTCTTGTTCAAGGTACTCCTCTTGGATTTTGTTTACGAGGGCATCATATCGTACTCAAATATCCCAGCGGAATTCCTTGAGAATAACACGGGATACTCCTCCAGTCACGCGGTTGTCTTCATCCTCTTCAACAACATTCTCGTCGTCTTCATGATTCTTAGCATTGACATCCTGCAAGACGTTGCCACGGGTTACTCAAACTGGGCCATTGTACACTACGTGTGCGATTACGTGAGAAGCAAGGGGAGGATAGACAACAAGGGGTGGTGGATGACGGCAAAGCGGTGGTGGAAACGGGGCTTCGGCATTCGTCGAGCGCTGATTAAATGGGTGGCGGCACGCCGGGCAAAAAATCCGGCACACTGGTGGAACAACAAGCTCGGCCAGTACTCGCTGCTCAACTCCTGCGGCTACACCGCGCACAAGACGAATGCCTTCTCCCTGTTGACCCTACGCCTGCTGGAGAAGACAGGAGAAGGCCGGAAGCGCGGCAAGGATATCACCCTGTCAGACGAAATCAAGGACGAGGTTCTCAGCTCCCTCGAGAAAAGTGGTGGCCGGCTGTCGGTCGACCGTTCAGGCGATCTGAGGAACAAGGTGCTGCAGCTGGACTGGGCGCCTCTCGACCTCTCGAGGAGCACGCGCACGGTCCTCGTATGGCACATTGCCACCACCATATGCGTCGACCAGGACCAGGGCACCAACAACTCCGACCGCCGCGTTGCAACAACACTGTCCAACTACTGCGCCTACCTGCTTGCTTTCGTCCCGGACATGCTGCCCGACCACAGCTACACGGCCACGCAGATCCTAGACGCCGTTATTCTAGATGCCCGAAAGCGCCTCGACACAACCAAAAGTTCATTGTCGGACAGATGTAAAATGATGTTACAATTGGGAAAGACACACAACAGCAAGATGGAGCAAGACGTGTCCATCTTGATCCTTGGAGCCAGCCTGGCTGACAAGCTATTGGCAGAGAACGAGCGGCCACCGTGGAAGCTGCTCGCGGCCTTCTGGGCCGACCTGGTGCTCTTCCTGGCGCCGTCCGATAAGGCCGATGTCCATGCCGACCACCTAGCTACCGGCGGGGAGTTCATGACCCACCTTTGGGCGCTGCTCACGCACGCGGGAATTGTTCACCGTCCAGACATCCGTGCTGCATCACATGTTTGAGCTGTTGACATGTCAAGCGTACGACACTTCACCTATCGCCTTTGTTGTTTTGTCGACAACACTGGATTTGTTACCTGTACTACCTTTTCCATTATACAAGTGATACTAGTGTGTAACTTCGTTGTAATGTAATGTAATTAATGTGCTTAAATTGTGTCGTTATGCCGCGCATATGTAGCTTGTTTCGTAAAGCTGATTTTGCGGGTATTACTAATGCTATAACTTACGTATTGTAATTAACTGGTTTCGTAAACCGATATTATGGGTACTACTAACGGTGTAACCTATGTATTCTACAGCTTTTATCCATATACATCCTAGTGTGAAGTTACAGAAAGATTCACAAATATGCAGAACTAGACAAAATCTAATTGGAAAGCAGATATCACCGATCTTGTTTTTGAGTTTCCCTATCTTTTGTTTGTTGGAAATGCGTTGGAAAATCAATGGCCGCACACAAATATGCGAGACGTACACACTGAAAAAAATAGAGCGCTATAACGTTGCTAATAGCACGCTATAGCATATTTAGAAATTGCATTGCTAAATAAATCAATGTACAACGTTTGGCTAATAGCACGCTATAGCGCGATGTAGCACGCTAATAGCGTATTATGAGGCCAACACTATTTTGTTGTAGCGCGCTATTTTTTTTCCTTGGATGTACATCAATACTCATTCCTAAAACCAAGTATATTACATCCAACATCTATTTTCAGGCAGAAATGGAAAAAGAATGCAACCTCTGGATGTGAGACAGAAAGGATTCTTCTTCATGCTAAAGTTCATAATTTTTCACCCCGAAACCACAATATAATTGAAATATCAAAATTCAGGAAGTTCTTATTTAGAACCCATCTTGCTCTTTAGACCCTCCTCGGTGTCTTTGCACGTCGGCCCTCCTTCTCCCCTTCAATTCTTGGACCCGATCGAGTGGGTCCGCCGATTAAAACGTGTCGGCATGACCAACCTTGCCCTGCCCCCAGCCTTTATTGCTGAAATGTCCAGCGATGGTTACTAACCTTGCTGCCTACCACCCCCGCAAACCAGACCAGCAAGAGTAACCGACCTGTTTTAAGATGAGTATGCCGGTGTTTTTATATTTATGTTGCATGTGGAATGATCTTGGACCTACTTTTGTTTTCCGAATAATTAGAACAAATCTCTCTATGAGTGAAATGGAGATGAAGACCCTATACCACGATGATAACCGGAACACGAAAAACAAATAGAAATTTGGTGGGTAGACTTGCTTATTGCTTAATTTGCAACAACAGATGTACATAGTGTGCAAAGTAAACAAAGCTTCGAAGGCCGCATTTAGATAATAAAGCTTCATAGATCACTTACAATATTTTTGATGTGGGCAAGTCTTTCACACAGCAGCCTCGGTTCACTGTTGAAGTAAGCTCCAAGATAAGAGTCTTAGTCTCCAAGATGTAGTTGCAACTGAAGTAGGATGAGTCTGGGTGGGTGAGTGTATAGCGCGTGGGAGTAAGTTGATTATGATGGTCAGCGTCGTTGTAAGAACTAACACGCTCTTATATCGGCGTGCTTAACACGATCGCATCCCACCTTAGCCAGAACCGAGTTAACGCCCATCCCATCGGTGTAGTGGATCGCATCTTTCGGCGGCTCATAGATCACTTAATCTTGTCATAAGCCAACCTATGCAAGTTTTATTAAGTTTTTTTTTTCTCAAAATGAACATCGTCAGAGTACTATTTAATAAGGATGGTCTTTTTGGACTAGTCGTAAGGGCATGTACAATGGTTGATAAAATAGTCTTATCTTAAGTCTTGCATGTAATTTAGAGATAACAAAAAACCATGTCTACAATGGATCATTTCTTAGCCTTATCTTCAACAAGTAGTTATTTCTAAGAATGTGGTGAGATATATTGTGCTAAGAGATCATATCTTGTCTTCTCTTAAATAAGGAAAGACAAGCCTTTTCTTATGATTTATCTCTCATCCACCTCATCATTTATCCTATATGGCAATGCCTAAGATAGAATCATTGTACATGCCCTAAAGAGACATGTGAAGGTTTAAACTTTTAACCCCAAAGTCTAACCGCCAGATCAAGTCCCTGCTATGCCGCCTCTAGCCCTACGTCCTCTGCCGAGCAGCCTCATCGGCATGCCGCGATGATTCGCTCCTCAAGGCAATGCCACCTATTTTGTTTGTTTGTTATGCTTTCAGCTCTAGGATCTAGAACAGCATCCTGTCCTTTTTAACCATTTCTCGTGTTCTAACCGAACTACTACTGGCTGATTAAAATAGGTTGGCTCATGTTCTAAACTGACCTGCTATTGACTGATTAAAATAGGTTGGTATTTGAATTCTGTTTGTCCTCCGTGACTCATCATCCACTAATTGCTGCAATTTTCTTTGAATACTGTGAGCTTGTCTCTTCCTAATTAACAAGTGATGGGGTTGATAAATAAAAGGTCTCTTTGCCGGCAAAGGGACAACGCCGCTAGACCAATCAGACCGGCTGGCATCCCCTGCCTATCCGGGCAAGGAGGGCAGGAGATTCACCTCCAGCTGCTTCTCTAGAAGCCTTAGGAACGGGAGCATGGCAAGTACAGAAACTAACTAATAAATCCGATGCTAGCCTCAAGTTGGCCCCTCTATAGCTGAACCGCTAGTGGGCTTCATCTTGTTCCTTGAGCGCCTCACACGCCAGAATACAATCGACACCAAACAGGAATAGGGTTTTTACTAGGACGATCCCAGGGTCTGAACCTGTATACATCCTTGTGTGCTTTAGGCTGTTAACCCATCCGATTGTAGCCACAAAGCATGCAATTAATTGTATCCAAATCTCTTCCCTGAAGCTGGGTGCAGATGTTGCCTGCAAGAATAATCAGATATATATTTTTTCAGAGCACGGATTCGATGTCGCAGTTGAGACGTTTGGACTTGTGCTTGATCATCCGGAGCCTGGACCCTACCCGCACCACCTCAACGCCGGTGAGCAGGACCACCGTGTCGACCGACACCGACTCCATCCCGAATTCGGCCATGATGTCGAACCTCCTATGGATGCAGAACCTGCCGTCCCCGAGGTAGGCCACGCTGTTGATCCTTGAGAGCCACTCTGGCAGCGGTTCAGCTATGTCAAGCCACGCGTGCCGCAACACCGGAGCTCCGTTCATCTTGAGGCCCGAGGCATCCATCGCGCAAAAGCGGCAGGGATCGTGGAGCTCGATGCCGAAGAGGAGGTCGTCGCCGAGCTCGGGGACGTGCACACCCTGGGAGAAGAAGGGCAGGCTCCAGTCGCCGGCCTTGGTCCACTCGCCGGTGCCCGTGTCGAAGCGGTAGGTGCTGACGGGGTCACGACCGGTACAGTAGGAGACGTAGATGGTGCCGCCGCCGCCGTCATTGCCGTGGAGCAGCGCGTGGCACCCGACGAAGGAGTCGCGGTGGACGGGCGGCGGAGGGAGCAGCCGCCAGTGCCAGGCGTGGTCTTCCTTGCCGGCGTAGGGACTCGGGTTGGGGTTGGGGTTGTCGTAGACGAGGGCCTCGAACCTGCTGGGAGTGGGACTGCGGCTGTGGAAGACGCGATCCAGGACGTAGAGCGCAGCGGCGGAGCTTCATGGGGGCCAACCTGGGCGGTGGCCCCCCCCAGCCCAAGAAAAATTCACCTAATACACGTTAGTTTTTGTGCTGGATGTTCAGTAAAAACAGGCTAAACCTCATAGTTTTGCCCCTCCTTGGCCCATTGCCCCTCCAAAGATTAGGCCCAAGCTCCGCCACTGGTAGAGCGTGCCGGCGCGGGCGAGGTCGCCGGCGCCACGGGCGACGGAGAAAGAGATGGGGCGGCGGCAGCCCTTGGGACCAATGAGGCCGGGCATCATCTCGAGGGTGTCGGCGTCGGCGTCGTAGAGCGCGGCGTGGCCGGAGTCGTCGACGCACAGGACGTTTCCCTCGCCGCCGCCGCCGCCACCGTAGAAGGGCATGTAGTTGAGCCTCGTGAAGGACGGGCGCGAAGATGGTTTGAGCCTGAGTTTCGACGGGGGTAATTGCAAGACGTCCTCCGTCGCCGCCGCCGTCTTGTTCTCCTTCTTCTTGTTGCTGGCGGCCGCCATGGCGGCATGCTGCTGTGCTTCCGCGGCTGATGGGTAGAAGAGATTGTTCTTGAGCTTGATGCGGCTCAATAGATAGCTATCCGCCGTCACCACGTTCACGAACCGCCGGGCCTTCATCGTCTTCCTTCACACAATCTCCAGAAAGAAGCCATGCATGGGAACGTACGGGATCTAGCAACTGCTAGTTAGGTCTAGCCGGCCCTAATATTTGTTCTTGATCTTATTTGAGGAGGCCCTAATAAATAATCTGAGTTATTTATAGAACGGTTGTAGTGTGTTCTCTTGCACCGTAGCATATGGGCCGGCCCGTAGATGTACAACTAATCATTGCAACGAGAATTACATAACGAGGGTCTTCCCTCAAAAAAGGAAAAAAGGTCTTCGTATAGACGAAACCCTAGCCTCAAAATATATGGTAATCAGGTCTATATTCATACCGGTAGATGTTCGCAGAATCACGCAAATTCCTGTTAATCTTCAAGCCTTTGAAGACTTCATTGCGTGGCATCCAGACCGAAAGGGACTATTCACAGTTCGGTCAACGTATCATGTTCAGTGGATACAAAAATACAGGGCCCATGCAAACACTATGGCGCAGACAGGAGGGTCCCAAATCCCGGCTATATGGAGTTCTCTATGGAAATTACAAATCCCACGTAAAGTCCAAATTTTTTGTTGGCGGGTCCTGCATGGAATTATCCCTTTAAAAGCTATACTTACTAATAGACATACTGGATCGAATGGAGCTTGTCCAATCTACCATCAAGCTGCTGAGGATGTTCGGCACCTCCTGTTCGAATGTACGCATGCCAAGGAGTTGTGGAGCAAGCTGGGAATGCTCGATACCATTAATGAAGCTATCATCATTGACCATTCAGGCTCGGCCATCATGGAATATCTATTG